GACGCCATCTGGTGTACACCCGCACAAGTCGCATGCATGCTGCTTCAGTCTCTGTGCGTTCATATGAGTTTTGATCCTGTTGATTTAGAGGACCTTGTTCTCCTGGTGTCCTCCATACTCTCTGGCTCTTACATTCTTTCTGCCTCCTCTTTGGCAGGGTTCCCTGAACCTCGAGTGGAGGGATTTTGATAGAGACATCACATTTAGGGTTGTGTGTTTCAAGGTCTATCACTTTGGGCCTAATGTTTAGTTGTGTGTCTCTGTATTTGTTCCTATCTGCTACAGAAGGACATTTCTCTGATGATGGTGGCTGAGAAGGACACTGATCTATGAGGATACCACAGTGTCATTAGCACTAATTTTATTGCTACATTCTTTTAGGAGAACAGTAACATTTGCTTTTCCCCTAGGTCCCCTGGGCTATCTAGTCTCAGGTTCTTGGTCACTCAAGCTGTGTCAGGTATGCGTTCCACCTTGTGAAGTGGGCCTTAAGTCAAATTGGCTATTAAAAAAAAGAATTAAATCATGAAATTCACAAACAAATGGATGGAGCTAGAAAAAATCATTTTGGATGAGATAATCTAAACCCAGAAAGACAAATCTGGTATGTATTCACTTATATGTGGCTACTAACTGCTAAGTCAGTGATAAGCATGCTACAGTCTGTAGAATCACAGAGGGTAGGTATAGAACAAGGGACAAGGTGGGACAGATCTTCATGGGAAAGGGAAATAGATTAGTTGTGGATAGGGGGCTGCAATGGGAGGGTCAGGTTGGCAGGGAAAGTGAAGAGGGGCAAATGAGAAAGGGAATAAGGAAAGAGACACCTAAAATTAAGGGATGTTCGAACAGTAGTATGGAAACCTAATACAGTAGAAGCTTCCTAAAATAGGTACAGGTTTGAAGGACATCAACCAAATAATGCAGGAGACATTTCTTGTCATCAAATGAAGCATCTGGTGCCGGGACTGGGTTACATCTAATTCAGTTGTTACCCAAAGGGGTCCCCTGGGAGTATCCAAGACAACCCAGACTGTTTACAAGACTATAGGTTGCTCTCCCCAAACTGATGACAAGGTTCCGTTGCTGAATACAACACCTATACAACTCAATGAACATGGAGACATCGAGTCAGTGCCTCCATGGAACAATTACGCTAGTTTACAGAAGCAGGGAGAAACTGTGGTTTTTAATTATCTTCAATTCACATTCTCTGGGAAATTTGGCCAATTCCCAGAGACAAACAAGAACAATTCCTGTTATCTTGAAATGAGCAAGACTTGCTCTCTGAGCAGGAACAAGGTCATTTCTCTAAGTCAGTCTGACAAACGCTTCTTCTGATAAGAAGAGGCTTTAATGAATAGGCAGCAAGTTCATAAAAGCAAAACTTCAGCAAATTTAATTTGTTATCAAGTTCGAAGTATGATTCTATTTCCTTTGGCTCCCTATACTGTTTAAAGAGATGCCTGTGGCAGACATACCTCAATTCCATTTCTTGTTTTCACCTAATTTAATATTTTCTGAGTATGCTTAGTAGTAAATTAATTTAAATCATTTTTAGTTGACCTAAAAATTTGTAACTATTTCTGTCCTTCACTATCACCCGTCTGACTTTGTACTGATATACATAGGAACATCTGTAGGAGCCCAGAATGGAATCCCAGCATTTGAAGAAAAGGAGCAGGTGGATCTCCGTGAGTTGAGAGCCAGGCTGGTCAACATAGCAAGTTCCAGGATAGCCTGAGCTACATAGTGAAACCTCTCTCAAGCAAAATCCTATCTATGGAAGCACAGCATCAATTTCCCCCTGACAACTTCTTGCCAACAAGATGTACAGAGGCTTGCTTCTCGCTTTCACCTAGGTGACTGCCTTAGACTTTACTTTGACGAATTCTACTATCTGTGCCTTCAGTAACAGAAAGAGTGAAAAGTAACCAGAAGCTCAAACATCAAAAAAGTCAAGTTCTTCCATTGTGCCAATTTTGAAACATGGGAGCTATCACTGCAGTAAAAGAGGGAAGATTGGTAAGTATTGGGTTTCAAACCTTGGACAAATGGCTGGGGTCCTATTTAAGATATCAAGGTGGAGTCTGGCTACCAGGTTCTCTCTCAGCATCCCCCGAACCTACCTGTTGCAGGAGCCCTCCTGGCTGGCATACCTCCTCCCTATCCTAAGCTCTCCAGTCCAGTGGTTGAGCTACTGTATGTAATGCAACCATTTTAGTTACATGCTCCTTTACCTTTGGGCCTCCTGGCTGCTTCATCTTGCTCTCCTCTCCCTTTCCCTCCCTCTGTCCCCAAATGGCTCAGCTCAGTCTGGTCACGACCACTCTGATTTTGTCTTCCTTTTATCCTACAATAAACCTCTCCTCCACCATATTTAGGTGTGGTCTTTCCTTGTCTTGCCTTTATTTATTTATTTTTTTTTCATTCAGAGTCAACAAGCATACTTGACATTGTAGTTCCCCTTTGGTCCACTAGGGGACGACAGGAACTCTCGACACCTGACATTGTAATTCCAAGTTTGCCCACTAGGGGGCGACAGAAACATTTCAGTTCATGAAGGGGTAAAAGGCACTCCTGACTTTGCCTTTCACCTTTTTTTTCATGGAGGGGCGTGAAAAACAATCAACATTGTCATTACCATTTAGTTTGGCTCATTGCAGGTGGCATCACCCTGGGCTGGTTGTCCTGGTTTTTTTTTTTCCGTTTGTTTTTAATTTGTTATTTATTTACATTTCAAATGTTATCCCCCTTCCCTTCCCGGTCTCCCCTCCACAAACCTCCTATCCCATCTCCCCCTTTGCCTCTAAGAGAGTGCTTCCCTACCCACCTACCTACTCCTGGTCCACCACTCCAGCATCCCCCCATGCTGGGGCATCAGGTCTCTACAGGACCATTGATGCCAGATAAGGCCATCCTCTGCTACATATGTAGCTGGAGCCATGGGTCTCCCCATGTGTACTCTTTGGTTGGTGGTTTAGTCCCTGGGAGTTCTGGGGTCTGGTTGGTTGATATTGTTCGATCTATGGGGTTGCAAACCCCTTCAGATCCTTCAGTCCTTTCTCTAATTCCTCCATTGGGGACCCCGTGTTCAGTCCAATGGTTGGCTGCGAGCATCTGCCTCTGTGTTTGTCAGGCTCTGACAGACCCTCTCAGGAGACAGCTGTATTAGGCTCCTGTCAGCAAGTACTTCTTGGCATGAACAATAGTGTCTGGGTTTGGTGACTGTATGTGGGATGGATCCCCAGATGGGGCAGTCTCTGGATGGCCTTTCCTTCAGTCTCTGCTCCACTCCTTGTCCCTGCATTTCCTTTAGACAGGAGCAATTCTGGGTTAATATTTTTGAGATGGGTGGGTGGCCCCGTCCCTCAACTGGGGACCATGCCTAACCTCTGGATGTGGTCTCTACAGGTTCTCTATCCCCTTTGTTGGGTATTTTGACTAATGTCATCCCCGTTGGGTCCTGGGAGCCTCTTATTTTCCTGGCATCCGGGATTTCCTGGTGGCTACCCCAGTTCCCCATCCCCCATTGCTACACACCTCTGTTCAATTTCCTGACCCTCTGTACATCTCCTCCATCTCTTCCCATACCTGATCCTAGCCCCCTTTTCCTCTTAGAGACTGGGGAGGAGGTATGGAATGAGGAACAATCAGACGGTAGACCAGGAGGGGAATAACAATCGGATTTGAGAGAGAGAGAGAGAGAGAGAGAGAGAGAGAGAGAGAGAGAGAGAGAATAATATTTAAGAAAGAAAGAAGAGAAAGAAAGAAAGAAAGAAAGAAAGGAAGAAAGAAAGAAAGAGAGAAAGAAAGAAAGCAGGCTAAGCGAGTTATAATGAGCAAGCCAGTAAGCAGCACCCCTCTGTGGCCTCTGCATCAGCTCCTGTCTCCAGGTTCCAGTCTTGCATGAGTTCCTGTCCTGGTTTCCTTCTGTGATGGATTATTATGTGGGAGTGTACCTTTAATAAACCCTTTTGCCATCAACTTGCTTCAAGTCATGGTGTTCCATCATAGCAATAGTGGCCCTAGCTAGGAGAGTCCCCAGAGGCAACAGGGACTTTTGACATTGTAATTTCCATTTATTCCACAGGGGAGTGGCAGGCATCTTGTTATACACCTTTTTATGTCCATGAGATGGTGACAGGCATTCTTGACATAGTTGTTCCCCTTTAGCCCACAAGAGGGCGCCAGACACTCTTGACATTGTTGTGCCCCTTTAATCCACCATGGAGTGAGAGGTACTCTTGACTCTGTCTTTTCCCCTTGCCAGGATAGGGGATAATCAGAGGTGGCCCCCACTCTTTCAGAGGAGAAATATGGGAGGGGATAGACTGTGGGAGGGGGGACCAGGAGGAAGGGGACAGCAATCAGGATGTAAAGTGAATGAATGAATGAATGAATGAATGGAGGAGAAAGAGCACTCTGGGTATTAGTTCAAGAGGCAACAGGCACTCTTAACATAGTTGTACCACTTTAGTCCTGGTCGAGTGCCCAGGACAAAGGCAGAGGTGAATCTGTGATTCTTGCTTCATAAAGGACCCTGTTTGGAGCATAACAGGCCATAAGAAGTCACCACCTAACTTTTCCTATTGCCTTCACCCTACCTCACAGCTCATCTGAATCACCTTGCAAGCATCCACCTCCTAGAGTGCAGAGCCCATCCTTGGGAAACCAACCCACCTTCCAGTCATTTATAACGCCATAATAGACTTGCAAATAGTAGCAGAATTCAGCCCTGGCTGGGACCAGGAACTTACCCTGCCCTTCCTTGACATACAATGGCAGGGTGAGATGAAGGCAGCACAATGACAGAGAGTGACAAAGAAGAATGTGTAGGTCAGTGTAACCCACTACTATAGTTGTGGACGTTCTCTGATGTATAGAGAATCCTGCAGGTGACTCAATTATGCCATGTTTAAAGGCCATTTCCATAATCCTAGAATCACCAAGATATTTGTATCAGTATTTTAGTAATCACAGAGGCAATGGAACAAACATGTTGAGAATCCACATCTTTATTGCTGACAGAATTGCTGAAAAGTAAGAGTTGTCATGGCCGACATATGTGGTCAAAATCTTGGTCCCGCAAAAGGACATCTTTCTCCCCATCTTGCTCCACGACAAACAGGGCACTCAAATGTTGCCCTAAGATGTTCAGGGATAGGTGCTCTCCTCCTCCTATTTCTTCTGACTGCAGCCCTCCTTATCTTAAACCAATTCTAAAATCAGAATAAAAGACTTAGTCAATACACTAAACAGGTTTCCACTAAAACAAACAAAAATAAAACACATACCTTTGAACATAACCACTGATGTTTTGTTGGCATTTTTTTTCTCCTAGGTACTAGGGATTGAACATAGGGCTTCATGTATGCTAGAGTAAATGCTTCATCCCTGTGTTACATGCTCAGGCCAACTAGTGAGATCTTAGCACACACACAAAGAAGCCCTTCATGTTGTATTTCAGGGAGGGACTGGGGCAATAGTAATACTTGTCAATTTCTACTACAAAACCAAACCAAACCTAAACCAAGACCTGTTAAGCTGCTCTACCCTCTCACACTTCCTGTTTAATGAAGCTTTCAGTTCAAAACCTATAGTGCTTGAGGCAAAGAGCTCTTCTCCCCGAATGTAATCGCCTATCTATCTATCTATCCATCCATCTACTCTCTATCTATCTATCTATCTATCTCTATCTCTATCTCAATCTCTCTGTCCCTCTCTCCCTCTCTCCTTCTCTCTCAATCTCTGTCTCCAATGTCTCTCTCTCAATCTCTCTCTCAATCTCTGTCTCTTTCAATGTCTCTCTCAATCTCTCTCTCAATCTCTCTCTCAATCTCTATCCCTCTCAATCTCTCTCTCAATGTCTCTCTCTCAATCTCTCTCAATGTGTCTCTCTCTCTGTCTCTCTCTGTCTCTCTCTCTGTCTCTCTCTGTCTCTCTCTCTCTCTCTTCCTCTCTCTCTCTCTCTTCTATGTCACTAGTGGGCGTGCTTCTCCCTTTTAAGTAGATAGTCTGTAAATTCAGTGCCGCTCACAATGGGGAGCTCCAGGACAGTACAGTTCCAGAGAGGGAAATGAATGTGTAAGTTTGAGCTGTGGGTGTCTGCCTGCTTTTGGAACAGTGTCTCATGTAGCCCAGGCTGGCCTTGATCTTCTCGTCTTCACCTCCAGGGGGCATCATAGACAAGCACCATTGTTTGTGGACTCCTTACATGTCAGGAAGACACAGCAGGATTTACCAGGCAACTTTAATTCAGGCCTATCATTCACTCTATTGCTTTACCAAGCACTTATGAACAAAGGAGCAGGCCTTTGCAGTGCTGTCCCCCATTCTCAGCAGTCTGTTTAAACACATGCTGGTAACACTAGTATTGGGTTCAGCCTGTGAGTTATTCGCTACAATAGCTGAAGATTTACAAATTCCCTCCTTCATCCTAGAATTAATGCTTAAATTTGCTACCAAAAATGATACCATAGAGCTCACAGATTTATATAAATTTGAATGATTTCTACACCGTACTTAACCCAAACATTGTGTAAAGGGTAGCTGTTACAGGATTTGAACATTTTTAAGAAGTATGTCTCTGTGCATACTTTATGCAAGCCTATATTCGCATGAGGTAGAAATGTATATATAATTTTAACACATGCATTTGTATTTTACTAAGAGATATATACATGTAATATGTAGATGTATGTAAAGATTAAATTAGTTCCATAGTATTCTTTGTCCCTTTAGCATGTATGCTCTTCTATGCTGGGCTTTTCTGACTCCATTTTGTATTCACAGACTTTAAAGATTCCCGCTGAAATCAAGAGAGCAGCAGCACTCTGACTTCAAATAGGTGCCCAAGACCTCAGGCGAGCTTTGGCATGGCTATCCTCCCAAATCACTTTTTTCAGATTACCTACCCGCACTCTGGATGCACTGGCAGCCATCCATCTACCAAGGTTCTCCCTAAAAGGAAAAAGTGCACATGTTCAATCTGTGGCAGCGTGGATGAAATAAAATAGGCAAAGTGTACTTCATATTCATTTTTGAATGTGTGCCCTGTCAACCCTTTCTCCTGCCCCCAACAGTGTTTGTAACATCCACAGTTGAGGCTTAATTTACCCAGAGTTTGCCCACTCTATCATCTGGTATCAACTTTAATGGGAAACTCCCAAAATATTCATTAATCAAAACAAGTCATGGTCTAACATAATTAAAAATATACAAAGCAATCAAGAGATGTGGAGGTGTAGTCAAATTTCAAACAGACGCAAAAGCCCCCCCTCACTTCACCACTCAGACGTCAGGCTGCCCACCTTGCCCTAGCAGGGCCTTGCATCACTCCGTTTCCAACCAGACTCATTTAGCAAGAAATATAGCAACAAAATAGTTTTATTCACACCTGCCATAGCTTTCATCATGCCCTAGAATAGAGGGAGGGGGCTAGGCAGTCTAGAGTTCTCAGGTACCCTTTAATTCAAGAGGGGACATTGAGGTCCCTGGGAGAAAGTCAAAAGACACCTAAAACTAGCATGTATTCCCTGAAAATTGGGCACTAAGCAGGACAATCTGCTTACCTTGTTGGGACATCAGAGGAATCACTGCGTTGCAAAATGGCCTCTAATTCCTGCAGCCGCCCCTGGGTGGACATAAGGCGTTGGAGGGGCGTCTGCTTATCTTCAGGCTTTACGCTCTTCTGGCCCTCAGTGCCCTCGGCAACTGGCTCATTTTGCTCCTGCCCCAGGCCATTAGCCCTGGTGCCACCATCCTTGTCCCCATCACCCACAGGACCTGGAGCACCAGGACCAAAGTGGCCTTCTTCTCCATTTATTTCTTCTCCTTCGCCTTCTGTCCCCACTGCTCCCGTTCCAGGCTGGCCCTGTGCCCCTTTCTCCTCTCTCCCCTCTCCAGCCTGAAAGAAAGCCTCTGCTTTCGCATCTGGAAAAGAGGAAACACAAAGGGGAAGATCAGGACACTGGAGCTCAGTATACACAGAAAGATCTGAAAGCTGCAGACTGAGCTGACAATGGGCACTGGCATTCTGCTCACTTCTGCCAGGGCACATTTGCTTCCCAGCGACCACAAAAATACCAACTCAACACAGGTACTTACCATGCTGTTCTTCCGAGACTTCCTCGACTCCCAGGCAGAGTAACTGGGCGATATCGCCGCTGGAGCCCTGAGCTTCCATACCCTGAATATGATCAATGATGAAGTTATGCTTTTGCAGACTCTGAGCTTGGGTCCCTGGTGTCCCCGGGAACAGAATGAAATCTGTGATCCTCAACCTGGAAGGGATAGCCTCTGACCTAATTCAGGTTACAGTGTATCCAACCCTGGGCTGGTCTTTGTGTTTTGCTCACAGTCCGTTCCTGTAGGCTGAGCCTTTGGGGTACACAAGTGACAGCAGTTTGGGGACGTAATGAGCAAGATGTGCTTGCACAAAGGACACAGTTTGTGGGCATGTGGGTGTGCAGAACTTGGGGTGCCCAGTTACAGCTTAGCTGACTCCTCTGGCTTTGGTAAGATATGTAGCTAGGCATAAAGATCTCCAGAGATCAAACAGGAGTTTCTTTCCCTTCCCTCTAATTCAGTCTGTACAGTTCAGCACCAAGTCTTTTCCTGGGAAGATATCTCACCAAGGCTAGAGGAGTCAGCTGACCCAAAGCATGGAGGCCTGTGTTCTGTACACACACACACACACACACACACAGAGAGAGAGAGAGAGAGAGAGAGAGAGAGAGAGAGAGAGAGAGAGAAAGAGAGAGAGAGAGAGAGGTACAGAAGTGGCTTTTTAATGACCATTGTAAAAACCAGTATTCTGTTGTCCATCCCTGGCTCAGGCTTCAGTCCTTCAGCCCTCTCCCCCTGTGCTGTAAGCATACATACCAGAGGATTCTTTGTGCTTCCTCCCCCTGTGCTGTAAGCATACATACCGGTGGATTCTTTGCGTTTCCTCTTGTCCAGCTGGGAACGCAGGAGGTGATCCTGAAGGCTAGAGAGGAAATGGACAGTGTGAGACTGTGCAGGGAGCCGGAAAGGAGAAAGGAAGAAGCAGGAAGAAAGAGAACAGGGTGGAGTGAGAAGGTCATAAGGGCTCAGCATTGACAACAGGAACCATGGGAGAGTGACCTCAGCAGGAGGGATCCAGAGACAGGACAGGCAGCAGGAAGTGCTAATCCCCAAGGGCATAAAGAGTCTACACACTGAGGACACACAGCCTCTCACTGCTGTATCAGATTCACCTCATCACAGCTGGAGGAACATGCGTGGGTGCCCTTAGCGGTTAGAAGAGGGTATCAGATACCCTAGAACCAGAGTTACAGGGAACCCCCATCCTGTATCTAGTAAGACTTAAATTGGGAAAATACTTATTATACAAGCCTGAGGTCCTGAGTTTAATCCCAGGAAATCTTGGTAGAAAGAAAAAAAGAGCTCCTGAAAGTTGCCTCTAACTTCCACGCGAGTACCATGGCAGGCACACATGTGCTCAAGCAAGTAGGCATGAGTGCATGTGCGCGTGTGCGCGCAACGCACATGTTGCATGTAGCTTTAGCTGCCACACCTTAACTCCTGGAATGGGCCAAGCTACCAGCCCCCACCCAGCTTCTCTTGAATCGTAAATCCACGGATAAAACACACAAGCACACACACACACACACACACAGAGAGAGAGAGAGAGAGAGAGAGAGAGAGAGAGAGAGAGAAGTTGCTCATTTAAACTTGCTCTCTGACACAATTGCTGAGCGTTACTATCTCCCACCTGGAAAAGCATGCCCTTATCAATAGTCTTATCTCCGCACCTTTCCATTTGCCCTAAACTTTAGTTGCTCAGTTCACCTAGTCCCTGTTAAACATTCTTGATCACCTGTTTGTAGTCCCTGTTAAACATCCCTGACCACCCGCTTATAGGAGTGGCCACAGGCCACCATTCCCCCCGAGATCTCACATGGCTGGCTCTTCTCTCTCCAAAGTATGGCGACTTCTGTCTCTTCTCCTTGCGTCTCTCTTTTCCTCCAGAGACTCGGAAGTCCAGCCTATTCTTTCCACAGAGCAATTGGCCCATAGCTTCTTTACTGACAGATCAAGAACCAATAGGGGAACAGAACCTAGCATCAGAATGATGCCTGCGCGCGCACACACACACACACACACACACACACACCGCAAAAAGAAGAAGATGAAGAAGAAAGAGAAGGAGAAGAAGAAGAAGAAAAGGAACAACATATTTTAAAAGACAAAACAAATTGAAAGAATTTTGAGCAATTTCCCACTTTTAAGGAAGATGAAACTCCTAGGTAAAAATCTTAACTTTAAATATGTGCTTTGAGCTGAGTATGATGTTATACACTTACAATCCCTGATCTCTGGATATAGACAAAGAAAGAGTTAAAGGCCAGCCTTGGGTACATGAGACCCTGAAAAAAAAAACACATGCCCTTGAGAAAGCACACATATTACTGTTTGAGTCTGAGAAATGCATTAGTGTGTATTTTCCTGAAGCAGAATTAATAGATTTTCTTTCTTGTCTCTGACATTATTGGGAAGGTCTTGTTTTGTCCTGACAGTTTTGATACTGGGGAATGAATCTCAGTTTGTACTTCATCTTTTCCTGTGGTGATTTAAAATAGTTATCCATCTGCTTAGGTAGAGGTCACCAATTTGAAGCTTCTTACACTCAAAGGTGACTATACTAAGCTATAGGGAATTACAGGTTCTATAACAGCTGTTTGGGTAAAAAAAAAAGTCTAAAGAGGAGAGAACACTGGGACGATGTCATTGGCTGTGCTCCTAAGTGTCCTGGGAATGCAGAGCAGCCCAGGCAGCCCCCAGGCTCTCTCGGAAACCACAGGCTGGGATCACAAACAGGCCTGGCTCAGGGAGAAGAATAAGAATTCTGGGTTTTCAGGCACGTAAGGCCAGCTGGGGAGCCAAGAAACTGAAGGCTCCTTGCTCCTTCAATAGCACTGAGGGCAGTGTGACCCATATGCCACAAATAAAGGTACAAGGCAGTGTTCTCAGCTACTGTTTAACCTTTCAACATGGATGGTTCCTGAAGGCTTCCTGAAGACCTCCAGCTGCACTATTTAGTAAACATCCTTACAGATAAGTCACAAAAGCCGTATTCTGGGGATGGGGGATGTGCCATTGTATGTCACAGGCAGAGCATTTGCCTACCATTCACTGGGTCCCAAGTTCAGATCTCAAGCCCCAACACACACACACACACCACAACCCACACACCACACCACAAACCACAAGCCACAAGCCATACCACACACACACACCAAAACCCACACATCACACCACAATACACATACCACACACCACAACATACACATCACAAAACACACTCATACCTACACACCATAACCCACACAGCACACCACACACACTGCAAACCACACACCAAAATACACACACAGAAATATCATACTACACATACAACCCGCACACCACCCA